TCCAACCCAGATAACACCCATCCCCGCAATTAACCTTCAATGAACCATGCAAAGAGCCTTGCAGCAACGTTATATATATATATATATATATAGTTGTTCTAAAATCAAATTTATCCATAAAAAAATTAAATTGCTCTATCAAAATCAAGAATTTTAAAATTGAAAAAATTGAGTTAACTTGTCCAAGTGAGAGATTTAAAGAATGATAGAAATTAAATTTAAAGTAATTCAAATTTTAATAATTTCAAATTCCTTGAATTTCTAAAATTTTCCATTCAAAAACACCATGTGAGTATTGTTTCTAAAGAATTTAGGATGTTGATGTGCAACCATATACATAAAAGACCTAGACTTATAAATTCTTTATTAGTAAGAAACATTATAAAGAGAATATTGAAAATTGAAGATAAACTTTTGTGCATTTATTTTAATTTTAATAACGATTTTATTTTTGAAAAAATAATTCAGTGAAATATGAGACTTTTGAATATCATATGTTTGAGTCAATACACACATATATATATAAAGAGAAATTCACTTGAACAAACCAACCGTTTAATCAAAAGTTCTTAATGAATATATTAAGTTTACAAATTTTTACAAAATTTAAAAATTATTTAAGATTTCATTACATTGATTCGAATTAATGTTTAATATGTTTTTGTGAATAATAGTTTATTTGAATTATTGTAATGAAGTATCAAATAATTTTCATGTAAAAATTTGTAAACTTAATTTATTCATAAAAAATTATTAATTCAATGAAGTAATACTTGTAAAAATTATACTAATATGATTTGAATCATCCTTATATTTATTTATAAAAGAGATGTACATATGCTTATTGAGTGTTGACTCATCTCAAGTCAGAAAGTCAGAGTCAATTTGCTAATTTTATTTTCATAAAAAATATACTCATACATATTAAATACAAAAATATTTTTAGGTATTTTTTCAATGAAAAAATTATTTTATCTAACTCAAATTTAATTTATCATATTTAATTATAAATTAAATTTTAATATTTTAAAATACATTATCGACAATTAAAAATTTCATAAATTTAAAATAAAATTTAAATGCTTAAAATTATTGGTCATTAGAGATGAATAAATTATATTAGACTAAAATTTAAATATATATAAATTGAACATCTTCTATAATGTTAAATAGATACTTTTTTAGACTTGACATGATTTTTTAAAAGTTTAATATGATCTATTAACTTATTTAAAAATAAATTTTACCATAATAACATTAAATAGGTCAATAAATTTAATTTTTAATAAATAAATAAATAAAATTTTAAATATACATGGAAATCTTTTTTACTCTGCAAGATAAAAAAAAACATTTGTATAAAAATAATTCATGCATATTCATATAAATTAACGTACACTTATGCACTAATTACGATAAAAAAAATAGTCATATAATAAAAAATATACTTTTTTATATTTTTTATAACAAATCTTTTTAATTTATATAAATTTTAAATATAATTTATGTATATAAATATTATATTTATTTTTATATATAATTTATTATAAATAAAAATATAAAAATGAAAAATAACAATAAAAGTTAAATTATGAAAAGCGATATTTCAACTACTTAAATAAAAAATAAGTCTAGTATTATTTGTGAAAAAAATAAATTGATGAAACTCAATTTAACTCTTAACACATCTACATGTCAAGTGAGTTAAAGAAGAGTTCCTTTTTATGGAGTACGCACTGATTGTCTTGATTGTTCCACAAGCTGGAATTCATGTTGAAAGTTTTGAAAAGAAGATATTGTCTTGATTTTTGTTTTTGAGAATGTCAATAGATTCTCTTGATTCTTGAATAATCTATTGTCCACGAAACTACAGTGTCGTTAGTCTTGTCTTGGATAACATGTCCTGCCTTCAAGGGAAGTCTCGTTTGGATCAATGTGTGATGCACAAACCGACAAAGCAATGTCTCCAATTGTTGCATGTTTACGTATTTTTTTTAATGTATATATTTTCAGCATTAAACAAAATTTAAAAATAATTTAATCATACTTTTAATCCTTCAAATTTAAAATATTTTTTTTAAAATTTTAAAATTTGTGTTTTTAATCTCTAAATTATAAAAAATATTATTTTCATTTTTAAAATTTAAAATTTATCTTTTTAATCTCTCAAATTTAAATATATATTTTTAGTTTAAAAATATAAAAATTATTATTTAAGTCTTTTTCCAAATGTTACTAATTAATCTGTCGTACAATTTTTTTAACTAATGTTAATATTAGTAAATTTATCATATTAAAACAATTAATATTATAAAATTATCTTAATTTATTATTGTTAATTATGTTGTTAATTATACTACAAAAAGTTTCTTAACCTGTCATTGTCAATTATGGTGTTATTAGTACTATTATTGGCAAAAATATCACATTAAATCAACTAATATTGGAAAATTGTTTTAATTTGCCATCGTTAATTATATTATTATTAAGATTACAAAAAGTATCTTAATTTGTCATTGTTAATTATGGTATTATTAGTGTTATTATCGGTGAATGCCTCATATTACTATAAAATTGTCTTAATTCGTCATTGTTAATTATTTTAAATTATAGGAATTAAAATGATTTTTTTTATTTGAGCTACTAAAACTTTGAGGGAATAATATATATATATATATATATATATATATCAAATTTTATATTAATCTAAGATGATTTTATACTTCATTCTCATAAAATAAAATAGACGTAATATATACATTTAAAAATATACTAAAATATATATGATCTAAGAAATATGAACTTTCAATCTAACGGTTGAATTTTCAAAATTCATATTTAATATAAAGTTATTGAACAGTGTAACACTTAGTAAAAGTTACACTGGTGTCGTTTGAACCCTCCTCATATATATATATATATTAAGGACTAAAAACACACGTTTCAAGTTTAAGAGACCAGAATAATATATATATGGATTATGGACCAAAATAAATTTTTTTTTTGAAATTACAAATATTAAAAACAAAAATTTTAAGTTTGGGAGAGCAAAAAATTAATTATCCTAAATTTGACGGATTAAAAATATAATTAAGTCTAATAAAAATTATTTTTGTGTATTGAATATTAAACAAATTATTCAATATTAGAAAGATATAAAACACTTCATGCAATCTATTAATGAAACATTAGGAATGGTTTAGTGGTAGGAGGGTTGAGGTAATATGAACATAATTATAATTGGTAACTTTGAACCCTGCAATCGTCATTGTATTTTCAATTTTGATGATAAAAAAATCTATTAATGTATTTTTTAAATAGCTTTATTAACTTGACTTGATTATAAATTATTAAAGAATAAAATATTATAGCTTAAAAATATCTCAAATTTAAGGTAAATTTATTTTTTAATTCTACAATTTTTAAAAATTTTGTTTTAGACCCTCAAATAATAATAATATATGTAATAATGAGAGATTGAGACAATTATTTAATACTACATGAGTTTAATATGATATTTTAACTAAAAGAGACATTAATGGGTAGATTTTATGTGACAATATTTGATAAATTTTCTAACAAAATTTAAATATGACAATTAAACAATTTTTAAAAATCACAAGAATAAAAGATTAAAATTTAATAAAATAAAAATATATTTAAGTGAAATATTATTTATTAAGCCGGGCAAACTTTATGAACGCTAAACAATCAGTAAAAGGCTCATGATATATACACCTCCTTCTTTTAAAAAAAATTATAAAATATTATAATTTTTTTAAAAAAATTTAATTTTACACTTTCAACTTTCAATTTACTATTTTCTTCTTCTTATTCACACATTTTTTTTTTCTCTTTCAATTTTCACATGCTACTAAAATAGGTGAGGTGAAGGAAAAATAAAGGGGTGCATGTAAAAATTTAAAAAAAAGAGGAAAGATATGTAATATAAAAAAGTACTAAATTAATGTTGTGAATGTAAAATTAAAAAATTTAAAACAAAAAATTAAAAATATTATAAAATTTTAATTATTTTTTTTAAAAAGAGGTGTAGAAAAGGAGGTGTATATATCATGAACTTCAGTAAAATTGACCTCGATAGGAACAATTTTTTTTGGGTCCGTTAGCTCTTATCTGGGACAAGCCCAGTAACATACACTAAATATACTTCACTCGCCACAAGAGAGCCTCATACTTTCATCGAGTCAAAGTCGTACTTACTTTTTGCTTACACTTCTATTTCCATTCTTAATTCTTAATTTGTTACGGAGACCAACTTGATTGCTTGAGTGCGTTTGCGGATCCCTAAGAGTGTCTCCGAAGGGCGTTCCTTAATGGGTTATTAAAATTAAGAATTCACTCCTTGTTTGTTGCACCATTGAAGCATTTTTACACGTGCAAACTACCTGTAGCCACAGTTGCCTTTTACTAAGTAATTTCCAATCCCAATTCTTTTAAAACTTTAGTATTAAATAGAAATCTTATTAGAATTCTTAAATTTAACACAAAATACTTGATTTTAGGTACGAACATGAACATTGGGTATAAAAAATTCATCATTTTTATATCCATCTTTTAGGACTTGGTTAAAAGTTACAGAAAGGAGACATGTATAAAAAAATTAACACAATTGAATTCAGGTAGGAAAAACAAGACAATTCATAAAGCAGTGTACCTAACTAAACTTTTTTCCCACAATATTCTTTTCTTTCCAACTGCGCTTCGCAGTACTGCATGTATCCAATCTGTTTTATAGTTTGATAACTGACTAATTCGTAAGTTAAGTCACAGTTTCCAAAATGGCACCTATATACATCTTAGTGGGACTTCCAGAGTCCAGACATATGGTTCCTCTTTTATCTCCATGTTCCATTTTCCCCTCCATACTTATTCCTTCTCTTTTCTTCACTATTTAACATCTCTTACATTCGGGAATAGCACTTGAAAATGCCAACCAAATTTCCTCGTAGCCGAAGTATAGAGCAATCCTAGGCAATATTCCCATATTTTTACACCAAAGAAACTATAAATATTTAGAATTAGTCACCAATAGTCTCCACAAGAACATATGGCACCATCAAAATGGTGGAATCTATTTGAATCTCGTAAAATTATCTGTCGATTAACAATCTTTGATATGTATTTGAAAGCAGTGTGACAGTCACCGCAAACCCGTAGGTTCTTCATTATCCTAATTGGTAGCTCAGATTTACGAGTGAGAACAAAAGCAATTGCTAGTTTCTCACTATGATAGCTGAGGAGCTCTTCTTTGTTTTCTAGCTCCAGATCATAGAGTGCATATTTGGTTTCAGGCACATATCCTGCGTCCCTTATTTTGTTCATTATCTCCTTGAGTTTTTCATAGATATGTTCCTTTTCTGGGTGTGTTTGATCTCCAGCCACAAACACATGAACTCCATCCTTCATGTTGACCCAACTACACCCAGCTTCTTTCTTCGCTGCTGCATTCCTCATCGCCAACCTAGCCTCTGCCACATCTTCCCATTTTCCACCAGCAGCATGCATGTTAGAAAGAAGCACATAGTTCACAGCGTTCTGCGGCTCTAACTCAATAAGCATCTTGGCAGCCATCCGCCCTAGCTCTGAATTTCGGCTATTAGCTCGACAACATGCTCCTAAAATTGTTCTCCAAATGAGGGCATTAGGATCCATTGGCATTGTTTTTATAAAGTCCTGTATCTTATTAACATCACCTGCCCGCCCAAGGAGGTCCACCATACAAGAGAAGTGCTCTATTCTAGGAGCTAGTCCATATACTTCACCCATTGATTTGAAATGCTTAAATCCTTCATCAACTAACCCTACATGACTACAGGCCGATAGGACCCCAACAAAGGTTACCTGATCTGGCAATTGGCCATGCTGTTTCATCTGTGTAAAAAGCTGTAGTGCTTTTCCTCCATGTCCATGGCGTGCGTAGCCAGAAATCATTGAATTCCAAGAATATATGTTCCTCAACGGCATCAATTCAAAGAACCTCGATGCATAATCTATCTTTCCACATTTTGCATACATGTCAACTAGTGCACTACCAACAACAACTTCAGATTCTAAACAAGCTCTTATAGCACATGCATGAACTTCCATACCACGCTCTAATGTTGCAACTGAAGCACAGGCACTAAGAACAGTGGCAAGCGTGAAAACATCCAATCTTTGGCCCGTTTGCATCATAAACCATACCAAATCCATGGCCTTATGCAGGATGCCATTATGTATATATCCAGAAATCATTGAATTCCAACTGACTTCATCTCTTCGCTCGGACATTCTAGAAAAGATTATCTCACAGTCCTCCATCTGCTCACATTTTCCATAGAAAGCTAGAAGCGTATTCTCAATAGCATTGTCATCAGCAACAGAGTATTTTAAGATTAAAGCATGAATTTGACGGCCCAGTTCAAGAAGAGAAAGAGAAGAAACTGCAGCTAAAATATTTATAAATGTTACTCTGTTGAGTTTGCATCCTGCTTGCATCATCTCCAGGAAATATCTTACAGCCTGTAAAACTGATGCCTCTGAAGTTGCTAGTGCACCAATAAAAGAATTCCAAGAAACTTGGTCATACTCTGACATTAGAAAGAAAACTTTCTGACAGTCATCCATATATTCAGTTTCAGCATATAATGTTAGAAGAGCATTTGAAACTGAAACATCCAAATCAAGCCCGCATTTGATCCCTTGACTGTGTATCTGTCGTCCTAACATGATCCAACCCAAACTTGCACATGAACTCAAAGTACTAATAACTGAGAATTTTGAGGGCACCATTCCCTTTCTCCTCATTGTATGGAAACAGGCCACTGCTTCCTCAAATTGCCCGTTGTGGTCAAGGCCAGAGATCATAGAGTTCCATGAGACAGTATCTTTATTGGGCATGAGTTGAAAAATAGACCAAGCATTACCAATGGCATCACATTTTGCATACATATTGACAAGTGCATTTCCAATCAAAATCCAGGCATCAACCAAGGCATTGCGAATCAGATAAGCATGAACCTCTTGACCTTTTCTCTTCCCTTCCCTTAAATTTGAAAATTCAGTGAAACCACTTAAAAGAACCGCATAAGATACTGCATTTATTTCAACTAAATCTTTCATTTCCTTGAATATCTTAGCCGCTTCTTCACCCCGGTGCTGCCTTGCCAATCCAACCATTAACCCATTCATAGTCACTGCATTACGATCACACATCTGCTCAAAAATCAGTTTAGCATAATCTATTAAACCATACCTCGCAAACCCACTGACCAATGCACTACCCACATACAGATCTTGTACAAAGCTAGATTTTTCAATCCTGGCCACCATCTGCTCAAGCAAAGTCAGTCCACAGTCAACCAGAGAGCATGCAACAGTTACTAAGCTACAGAAGGTATATTCATTAGGCCTGCAGGTAAGTTCTGTAGCTTCCCTTTGCATGCTTGAAAATAGCTTAAAAGCAGAAATTGCATCTCCCCTACGACAATAAACCGAAATGATAGAATTCCAGGATGCAGAAGTTTTGTTTTTTATTTCATCAAAAACACGACGAGCATCATCAATGGAAGCCGAGCAATGTGAATACATGGAGATGAGCACATTAGACAACACCATGTCTGAAGCATATGGAGATTTGGAAACTAAGCCATGAATCTCCATCCCGAGTTTAAGCTTAGTTGGACCAAGCTCTTGGCATGCTCGAAGAGCACTACCAATAGCATAGTGGTTTGGTAAAAGACCAGCTGAAATGATCCCCTTGAATAGCATACATGCCTCATGAGGCATGGCATTTTGTGCATACCCAGAAATCAAACAAGACCAAGAAACGAGGTTCTTATGTGGCATTTCATCGAACAGCTTATGTGCTGAAAGCAAGTTGCCAACTCTAACATATATGTTGATAAGAGTATTACACCAGAAAACATCATTGGTAAGGCCAGTTTTGTAGATCTGTAAATGAAGATGATGGGCATCTTCTAATCTACGAGAATCTTTGTATCGATGATATTCCAAATTAAAAGGTGAAGGTGGAGATTGGAGGTGGTGGTGCGAAGAGTTGTAGTGATGTAGCAACTTCTCTGGCAAAGCTAAAGGGGTGGAATTGTGTAACAATCGCCTGTAGCAGAGTATCATGCTTTTCACAACTCTACCTTTGCACCATTTAACCGTCAATCACAGTGATCATATCGAAGTTAAAAAGTTGCTGCCATTGCAAAACTAATTTTTTCTAGCTTTGCTCACATCGCTCAAATATTTGTGGCACAATTTATTTATTTTTATTTGTTAGTACTAGTTTTTAAATCTCAACTTTTAAAGTTAAATAATTCAATTTTTTTTAATTATTACTACTTTAATCCCTTAATAAGTATAATATTTTTAAAAAAAGTCTCTAACTAAGTATTGTCAAATTTTTAATGTAATATTCATGATTATTTTTTATTTATATTCTTTGTAATATTTTTTTTAAACTTGTTACTAGTTTATATTTCTTTTATCAGAAAAATTAGTCACAAAATTAGATTTGTAAAATTATTATTCATTTTATTTACTTATCTTATTTTATATAAAAATAATTTAAGACAACATTTATTATAAAATGAAAAAATATATAACATATATTAAAAATATTTATCTACTATAAAAATTTTATTTAAACAAGGGCCGGTGAGAGTCTAACACTTGTGATAAGAAATTACAAATTTTGTGAGTGTTTTGTTCTGTTTGAAGTTTCTCTCTTATAATTTAATAATAAAATCTATTAAAAAGAATTATATTAAAATGATAGTAAAAAAAAATATTAGAAAGAAAATATGAGAGAAATGTTGTCTCTCATTTCTCATTTATCATATAATGAATAAAAGAAGTGGCTGCATGGAGGCCAGGTCATGAGTTGGTGAGATAAGGGTAGGATCCACATGAAGGAGAGAACATATGTGATGGATTTGAGATCACATTGGTGCAGCACACAAACATCAACATAACATGGCTGCCAAACTCACTCTATCTTCTCCCCTTGCCTTCACAACTTCTTTTCTGCCTAAATCACCATCATTTTCTCCACCTTTGTGCCCCCCCACAACTAATGTTCTTTCAGTCAAAGTTCATGCTCAATTAGGTAACACTAACATGCTTCAATTTTATGTAATTAGCTATTATCATGTTTCCCGTTCACATGAATTAAATGAGGTTGAGATGATAAACTTAGGAATATGGCTCTGCTCCTATTAGGTGGTGGAGATGAACAAGCCAAGAAAGGAGGCAAGAAGAAATTCATAACCAGAGAGGAAGAACCACAACAGTAACAATTCCCGGATTTCACTTCACAACTTTATTTTTTTCCGTTTCCTTGATTTTATGGTCACGTTTGTTTTCCAAAGCTTTTCTAGCTAACGTGTTTTTTGAATAATAGGCTCAAGAAGTTTATTTTTTTTTGTGTGTGGTGCAGGTATTGGCAGACAGCAGGAGAAAGGGAAGGAGAGAATCCCATGAAGACCCCTCTTCCTTACATTATCATATTTGGTATGTCAACTCCTTTTGTAATCTTGGCCATTGCTTTTGCAAATGGTTGGATTAAGGTACCTGTTCGATGAGTACATTGACAACACTTCGTTGTCTACTCCTCATATGTTAATTCTCACGAATTTTATGCACTATAGTTCTCAAACTTCATCAGATAATTTCTTTACTTTTTCACATATGTACGGACATACGTTATGTTAAGGCTCGTTTTAATGAACAAGAGTTCGGTTTAATGATGTTTCTTGTTTAGGAGAAAATATGATCTTATTAGCAATATTCAGACGTGTAATGGAACAGCTGTACTTAATAATAAAATACGACCGTCGACACTGATCAATCTGTTATTCTTATAGATAGAAATTTGTGCAAGTGAAACTAGCAATTTAACATCTTCTATGGCATTTCAACCAATATTGAAAAAATAGGTTAGTCCCATGTATCAGTTGTAGAAAGTGGTGGAAACCAGAGGACACTTGCCACATAAAGGTGTCAAATTTGGCTATTTCACTTCTATATATTTATCCTCTGTTTTTTTTTTTTTTTTTTTTTTAATAATAATTTTAGTTACTGTGTCTATATTATTAGTATCAAATATTTACCTGAATAGACGAACCAGAAATATAAGCTAAATTTGTGCACTTTAAAGATTGAGGAAGGTGATGTCGGACTTTTCCAACACTTCCTCCTCTGCTTATGTGTTTGATAGAATATGCAAGATTCTATCTTAAAACCAATTAGTCAGAGAATTGAAATAGACGAAGTGAGACTTTTCAATCACTATTTTTGACTTAAAAGCTTGATCGATCACTATTAATTAAATCTTCTTTTTCAAACACTTATTTTTATTATCGAAACTTAAAATCTTCTTTTTTTTTATTATCGAAACTTGAACTCTAAATTTTGTTTAAGTGATCCAAACACATCACTCGGACCAACATACCAACACCATGTTACTATCTGTCCCTTTTTTAAAAGCATTTAGATGGCTATTAGCCTATTAATGTATGTTCAACCATCGGAATAAGCCATAGTTTAGAACCGGGGCATTTTCCATTTGAAAATGGGTCGGTTTCAGAGGTTGATGACATTGTATGAGAGCACAACAGAGAAAACGAGAAGAAAGATGATAGCTCATTAGTGTCAGGCATCATATGCTACAGAGTAACCATTGCATCTTCATCACAGCAAGTGCAGTAATCGCATTCAATTCCAAAACATAAGACCTTGTAAGAAAGGAAACTACTATGAATATGTATTGTATATGTTGACTACTGATTGCCAGAATAAAATAATATTCCCTTAAGGTTTTTACATGGAAAGCAATATTTCATTTACCTACTCCAATCAATTTTCTACACATTAGATTAACGACCTTAACATATGTTCTCATAAAGACAACTTAAACGAGGCAAGTTCAGTAGCAGACAAAAATGATAATATGCTTCATCATCTTTCCCTGCGCAGGGACTTGTACAGTTCCGTAGTAATATATTTTTGTTGAAACTTAAAAGTTGATCGTAGTGCCACAAATTGATCCCTATCAGTTTTATGTATGTATAGATGATTCAGTTCCAGATGTGTGGGCCTAGGGACAAGTCGAGTATTTGTGGATGAAGGCTCATGTCCTATTGCCACTGGTAGATTTGGTGGTAATTCTGGTGGGGGCTTGCTGAACTCCTCTTCATTTAAGTATGTGTTATCATAACTCGATGGTGGTGACGGAGGATCTTCAAAATCGGATAACTTTGCAAGTATTTCTGGGATATAATCCTGTAAAGATGGTAAATCATGAAGCTAGGTGAGCCTATCTTTAAGAAATAAAGAGAAATGATGTTCGAATACTAATTACTATAAGCATACAGAAAATAACGTTAAAAACGCATGCCGTTTCCATAAATATATCAGATTTTGGAGGAAAAGTAGGGGAGGATAACCATTTATAGATGAATTGCAAGAGTTGAAGGGGTTATAAATTATGACCATATTTTGGGATGTTATTTCGCTCTATACACTTAAGAATAAGAGCAATACATGCTGATGAGTGAACAAAGTTTTCTAGCAATGGATAGAAGACTAGTGAAATCAATGTAAACTAGCAAAGTTACAATCCAACACTCTGAACTTGCAAATGTATTCTAGTTCATATTGCTCATATGCTCTCAAAACGTCCGCCACAGAAGTAATTATACTTCAGTTGGGGATAGACCATCGTTTAAGAGGAAATTAAGGACAAGGTATATTATCATCACCATGTACAACTATAATCATCTTTCGGCTTTAAGGTAATTTCAGTTTTAAAAACACGGTGTATCACCATGTGTACAAATCTATGTGCACATTTTTTTCAGTGCACATACATTTAAAATGTGTTAAAAGTAACTTGGCTCTTTTAATTATTACGAAATATAATTAGTTGTTCTGTTGCATATTAGACCAAAAAAAAAAAGATGTATGTGCACTGTGTACAAAGAGGGGTGTTATTTGGAAATCCAAAATTTGCAAACACTCACATGTCTCACATGCATTTAACTTGCGATTCGCAACCACAATTGTAACTACAATGTAAAAAGATTTTCAACTCAATACAACTACTGTTATAGTCGCATAAGTAGTATTCTCCCACAACTTCACAATGTCAAATATTACAATGTAATCACAATTGCAGTTGCGATCGTAATTTAGAAATATCACACATCTTATTTCTCCCTATCTCTTTCTTATAATCACATTACATCACCAATCATTTAAATAACTTCTCTCTTTCTATCTCTCTCAAGATGTTTATACATTAAGGTGTCTAAAAAAACAATAATGTGTACCAAATAATTGTTGCAAGAACAATATTATTAGTCCTTTTCACTAGACCCAATCCTCCATCGGGAGTCGTTGTACATTTTTAAAAAACATACGCAGCTAATCAGCAAGACATGCCCTTAGTATACACTTAAAGTACTGCTAAACAAATATTGTCCTTAGGCATAACTGCATAAGTAAACATGGACTCAAAATAAAGCGAAACTGTCAACTGAATTGATGGTCGTTTTAATGATTATTGTAAAAGATAACACATGTGAAGAATGAAATTACCTGCAAATCCAATATGTTGTAGCCATAGCCTGAATCATCAGAAGCCGAAGGGAACTCGGGAGCATGTGTCAAGTAGCCATCTACAATGAAACGGTAATGATAGATACCTATCGGGAGTGTTTTAACAATGACAAAATTTTGACCTACTCTTTGCAGGGGCTCCCTGACAGTACAAGGCAAAAGTTTATCACACCATATAATGAAGAAGTTAAAACAAGTGTATGTAGTTGGAATTCAAAAGTATATGCAGCAGATGGTTACGTGGTCTCCCAGTTGTCCCATGATCCTGCAACAGCAACATTCGTGGCTGCATGGTTCCATGTGATCCTTACATTTTTCAACCTTTCATGAATCACAGATTCTACATATCCATTTTGTGGCAGCAGGGGTTGCACTAACGCTGCAGATCCATGCATGCCAACCACAGGAACGACCTTGAAAACAGCCATTTCAAATTTGGTGTTTCAACGTAGAAGTTCATTGTGTTGTGCCCCTCAACATATTTATTGTCACACTAGCTCTTTGTTATAACTTCTAAATTCTTCATCATATTAAAAACATTACTGTCCATCCTTGTTGTAATTGCATAAATTTTTGTTTATATTACCTCAGAGTGAACTAATGTTGCAATAGCCCTATAACAATTCCCTATAAGACCAGCAGTTTTTCCCATATAAATGGTTAACAAAAGTAGTATTCAAGAAAATAAATCCACCTTAAATTTCTATCACTTGAAAGATTACTCTGATCTTAGCCTTATCACCAAAAAAAAATCCGATTTTGATTGTACCATCCTATAAATCACTATTAAACCGGAAAAGCAGTCTACAGAAGGCTGAGAAGCATCCAACTTTCATAATTTAACATCAAAATACTGAAACCCATCATACACACTTTATAAAACTTTAATATCAAACACAGCCTATCCCTTTTTTTTTTTTGAGACAAAAGAAAAGAACCCATAATTTTTTTTCAATAAAAAATTAACAAAGGATCATCTAACTCTGACCTGGGGTTGTATGAGCAACGGATCTGTGAATCCATTGGTATTGAGAAAAAGCGCTTGAGGTGGCAGAAAATTCATGTCTTGTTCGTGCTCATAGTTCTCTTCATCTTTTTTAACTCCAGAAGTGCCTTCACCATCCTTTCCTCTGCTGTTACTTCCCATCACTGAAAGTTGAAGAAACCCAAATTTTGATGGTAATAATCACTACTATCCTCAGAATCAAAACACCATACACAAACTCCAACTCAGAAAGAGAGTAGGGTAGATATCCATGATGCTCAGCTGCGAGACAGCACGAATCCATTAGATAGAGAAAAAAGAATCAGGCATACCCATTTCAGTGCATAAATAGAACAAACCCTTGAAAGCAAACCAGGAATTGACTCAAGGTAGAAGAGTGGCATTGTTGTTATAGAAAGGTTTTTTGTTTTTATTTATTTTTTTAATATTTGAGGAGCCTCTCACTCTTTCTCTCTCTCTCTCTGAGGATGCCACTTTTCCCTGCCTTAAAGCAACTGAACAAATATACAGAGTTTTATTCTCCAATGAATTTGGAAGATTCCGCTGTGGACTAATTATTACGAGTCTGGTTTAAAGGAGAATGTTCCCCTGCTATCAGGAACAACCAAACACTGTCTAATGAAACTGTGCATACTTTTTGCATAGGTTCTTGTCCTTGTGCTGCTCCATTAAATTAAACTAATTTCTCTTTGTAAACTACAGAATATTGGTTCGGTACTATAATGGGTTACAGTTACACCACCTAAACAAACTTGTTTTCAGCGTAATGGAATTGAAGTCAAAAGCTTGTGGAAAAGTGAAAGGACTTGTGAAAGGCAAAGGTTCCAAGTTGCTACTACTTGTATCTAACTAAACTCATAAAATAGCATCTTCAAAATAAAATAAATCATAAATTTGCATTGTGCTTCCGGTCTATACAGGAAAGCATGAGTTGTTGATTGAATTTGACATGTTAACTTTGTCTTTTTTTCTATTTTGTTTGGAGCTTCTTGTCTTGCATAATAAAGTTTAATCATTTCAATACTAGTGCCCTTCTTTTGTCAATAACAAGAGTCCTGCAAACCCATCACATAAACAAAAAAAATACGAGGGAAAAGAACAACCTTGCTCTTCCTCATGGTTCGATATAGAAAATGATGTGTTACTAAATCAATAATTTCCATGAAAACAAGTTAGTATAAAGATTTAAGTTGGATCTTAATTAATAATATTGTAAAAAAAATCAATAATTTCTATTATTTCAATCCTATTGTTAATTTAGTGTAACATACACAATTCCATACGAGGAATAAATTAATTTTTGTTGCAAACTCAACGCTATTGCATATTCATATTTGTATGTTGTGATTTTTTAATTTATTTTAATTACAGGTAGTGACTGATAAGCTATTTTATATTATATAGTACATGGTATGAGATAAACAATGCATGAATAGGGCTTTCTTGTATTACAATTCACTAGGCTCTTGTTATCGAATCCAACGACGGTTTTATCTTTTTCTAACGCGTCTGCTCCCTTGAAACGAACAAGAAATTGCGCCAACAGGTGATGACAAAACACTTTTTGGAGGATTATGGTTTTGTGTTAGAGCATCCTTTTTTAATGGAAGTTACAATACACTTAGTTGGAGGGTGGCTGCGTATATAAATTTCGTAGCTGTACCACATAATTATATTAAAGTCCCTTGAATCCTCAAAATAGAGTATTTTGATGTATAAGGGAAAAAACATGTACGTTAGGGGAATAAGAAAAATTAACTATAATTATTTTCAAGATTGTTTAATACGTCAAAATCATGAATTCATGTTGTATTATTAAATTAAGGATTATTTCACTCCAACACGTTTTAAACAAAAACTCACTTTCAAGGGACATTTTCTAATGTATAATAAAGAAGAAGAAGAAAAAATTAACCAAGGGTTTCGTTTTCTACCCTTCTCGAATATTCTCCCACAGGGTCATTAACATTGATGCATCCTATAAAGTATATATGCTTAAGTGAAGGGGTGCCAAACCCAAAATAAATTCTCCCACGACCAAAAGTAGATACTTGCATATCTTTTCCATTATACATATGCTTTTGCGAATTTAAGATGCAACAATAGCATCCCAAGATTCCAAAGTTGAAAGAAGCATGTGAAAAGCTAAGTTAAAGCATCAATAGATTCTTGTTTAGGCCTTTTGGAGTTATACAAGTAGCTTGATGAATTCCACTAAACTTTACCGTGGCTAAGTCCCCGAAGTATCTATATCTATCTTCCCATGTGGTGTGTTTTATATTTCCAAAAGGAGTGAGCATAATAGGTACTAATTGAGCATGTCTTAATCCACTAAAGCTCGTGAGAGAAAATTATGGGGGAAGTGGGCATCTCCTTTTCAGCATCCAATCAACCATAACAAGCTCAAAATAAAACAGACGGTACCCTATGCCCTATTTTAATATTTTCACTGTTCCTTGCTAGGTGTCGACTAAACATTATACTAAAATAATCTAACAAGGATCACCATGCATCTTTAAATCAAAAGAGGTGGAGATCAAGGAGAACTACAGAATCATAGTGCAAACGTTAAGCTTTCTTAAATTTGTTACTAGATAGTTATGCTAGCATAGTTTTGGCTACTGTTTGATGCATAATTCCATGATGGACAGTAATATATTCTGTCGTTTTATTCTTTCACTTTTTTTTTTAATAAAAGTTTAAATTAGGAAAAATTACACACTCTTGCAATATGAGAGAATATCACCTAGCTCAACGAGGTTTGTCATTAAATTTATCATCGCCTATCAAGAATTGAACCCAAGTCACAAGTAGTGTGAGTAGAAAATTTGAACTCTTATTTTACAGTTTTGCACCCTTATTTCTTTCTTAAAGATACAATAATCGCCTTATATTCATCCATCAATACTTGTATGTCATTAATGCTATTCTTTTTACATATTATCATGGTCATGGTCATATCCTTATATTCTCTTTCTCTTTATTTATTTATTTATTTATTTATTTTTCTAATTTTCTCTCATCATCTTTCAATTGAAAATAAATGTTCATGTAAATATTACACATCTTATAGAAAAGAATTAATCATTCTTCAATTTTTTTTTAAAAAATTTGGTTATAAACTAATATTCTTTTATTATTGAAATGATAGAGAAGAGATAACATTATCAAAGAATCAATATTTTTTTTTTGTAGGTAATAACTGAAGTCGCAATAAATGTCATTTTGATTTGAGATTTAATTAAAGGTTCTTTTGAAGGAGGTATGTCCACTAATAAATATTTTAATGATCTTAAGATGTGTCAAACTTACATCATATTACAACAAGAAAATTGTCATATAGTGATACAATGCATGTCACTAAAAAGTACTTTTACCCATATAATAAATATAATATGTTAGTATATTATCAAAAAATGTTATAGTGACATACAAAATATATATATTATTAAATCTTATTCAAAATCAATACTAAAATTATATATAACTATATGTCAAATATATATATATATATATATATATATATTACCTATAGTGACATTTTTTGTATATTATTATATATAACATTTCTTATAGTGTCCAATTTAATCATTAATGTATATCACAAATGTGTGTGTGTGGAGGAGATGATTTAAGTGAATTTGTGAGAAAATTATGATGGAATCCATATAGATTTAATTTCATTCTTTTAAGTGTGACTTTGTATGAAATTTTCCATAAAAAATACATGAACAAGACTCCTCCTCCTATATTATTATCTAAATAATTAGTTAATAAAAGATAAAAATAATATATATATACGTATATTGTATCATATATCTATAATGACATTTTTACGTACGTCATTATGTATAACATTTCTTGTATTGTAATGAACACAAGTTTAAATTAAGCTATTTATATCAACGGGCATGAATATATTACTATCCAACTTTCCAAATACTAAAATATAAAAGAAATCACTATAACTAAGTTGTGAGGGAATTACATTAATAAAAATATATTCAACTCGATGTCTTAAAACACTACATTAAATATATAGATCGTTATCACATGATATATTCGTTACTCTACATATTTATTTCTGCTGAATATAAAACTTTTTTCATTCACACACTTGTTCCTCCAACAGGAAAAAAGATGGCCAAGTGAGTTCAGAGCATAAACAATTTTATTTCTTTTATTGTGGGTACATCAACATGACTTGTATGGCTATGTTGAGTGTAAGGGAGATATTTGCTCTTCTGAGATGACGCGTCAAATACATGAACCACCAAAAGATCAGTGAAGAGTTATATTTACTAATTTCTCTTGGTAAAATAGAAGAGTTATATTTTATTTTAGAGGGTTACTAATTTGGCTGGTGATGCATATTCAATGATCAATAATAATAAATAAATAAAAAGGAAAATACGCCAAAGCATCATTATCTTGTCTTATGGAATAAGCACCTTAAATTGCTGTCAGCTTCCTGGCAAAGTCATCAAATTTATTTTATTTTATATTCTCTCTCTTTAGGTTAATTTATTGATAAAGTCTTCAAGGGGCATTTGCATCCTAAAGAAAAATATGTCAGGATTGAAATAAAATATGGTTTCGCAATTTGCACTATGAGATGGGTCAAATAATAATATAAAAAAATTCTGATCGTGATTGCCGAGACAACAAATACGAACTAACCATATGATAAAGCAAGTGAGTTGCTGACTGAAAATAATTGTCCATAGCCACAAAGGGTTGGTTTATTGTATTATACAAATGAAAGTACATTAAGCCCAAACAGCTTCAATTTTTGTAGCCGAGCCATTGAGGCCTCGACCCGGTTTGTGATTCTCTTTCTTGGATATTAATTGGGCTGGGCCCAGTAAATGATGGATCACAGAACCTTTTAAACATGTCTTGGGCCCTATGTCTTCATCTCAAATAGAAACGTATCCGAATTCCACATTAAATTTTCTGGTATCGGCATAGCATACTAAAATAGGGGGAGGGGGTACTTCTCCTTCTCATTACTCATGGACCACCCTTTGTGATTTTACATCTTCTACAACCACCCCATTCATTTTTTTTAATATTTTTTTTTAACTCTGGCTCCATAATTATCATTTATCTTATTCTTTTTGTAATAGCAAGGAAACCATCTTATTGCATGTTTGCATGAGTTTCACAATGAGAAATAATCAACTATATTTTTATGATAAAAATAAAACAACAAAGAATTATTTTTAGGTATCACCATGATTAAAGTCACTTCAACACAGTTAGAACATAAATAATTTTTTTATAGAAAAAAAAATTACCTCAAATGAAAGAGATATATGTTGACTTTTAAAAAAAAAATTAGTGACCATTTTTTGCTTTAAAAAATTAATAATAAATTTTTATGTTTTTACTGGTGAGCTTAAAACTTAAGGTTTTAGTAATTTTATTCTTAGGTCGATTTGGCAATGATTTTGGGAATAAAATTGATCTTCAGTTGTTAGTAAATATATAGATATATACTATTAGACAACTTATATGAATTGAAAAACCTTTTTGTATAAATTGATTGAGTAGACGAAAATGGTAGTTGGTCACCTATTGTGAAACCAACTTTGCTTCATTATAGAAGCTAGATCTAGCACACAAGTTTCTTGTGTATTTAGACATAGCTGGCTTGTTTGGGTCTTTGGTTCAAACTTTAATAAAACCAGAGCAACACCTTATCTCTTTTTGCTGACAATGTTGCAGTTAATTTTAACTTTGGTTATTTATCCTAAAACCAAAAACAAAGAAACGAATCAAATGTCCTTGTGTAGCTTTTATGACTTTCTTTTGAGTAAGACACTGTTTACTCCATTCTTAATTCATCAACAACCTCACTGTTAAATATTGAAATAGTCCAAGTATTGGGTGTCCCACAATAGTGTCGTTTGATGCTTTTTATTCCAAATTTGGTGGCTCGGCCTTTAATTATTGCGAGGATGAGAGTGACAACAATGTATCAACAAATGCAAAACATAATTTATTTATCTTTCAACAATTATGGAGCCCTTTTCACAAGGAAATAAAATGTTTGAACTAGTTTATTGGAACATTGAGCCAAACTTGTCACAACTGGAAAAGATTTTGGTCTTTATAAATGATTTGGCCTCCAATAATAATTTTAACGTGTCCTCAAGAGAAGTGCCGTCATTAATATTACGCAAAAACATGATTTAAAATATAGATATTAGATAGGGAGTCTTGCACATGTGCTACATTTTTGCCAATGGATATTTGGGTCGCATTACGGTGCCCTTAAGTGTATCTACGGATCATAATTTGATTTATACTTAGTAGGCATCTAAAGAAAATCAATAATGGCTAATATTTATAGCTATTAATTGTATGTTTGGTTTATTGTAAAAAGTTCTTAATTGGACGTTGAACATAAAATAACCAATTATCTTTTCTCATTTTTTTTCTTTAGAATGAGAGAATCTCTATCTACACAAATTCAAATGACATTTTAAATATGTACTAAATAAGTTGTAGCATAAACATAATAAATTATTAACAAAAATAAATAATAAAAAGTGGGTATGAAATGATTCAATAAGTATGACTCAATTAGCAGTACATACTAAACTTATCAAAAAGTTAGATGTTAGATGTTACACACATATACACACATTATATATAATAAAGTTAGATGTTATCCTATTTATTATTTTTTTTTGTTTTTGGATTTTTTTTATAATTATTTTAATATTAAACTATTTTATTTTATTAATTTGTGAAAAATAAAAATGCTATTTATTTTAATAAACACTACGAAATAAATTACTAGAGACATTCTTTTTTTGAGCTCAATAGCAAAATATTTCATTTTATTGAATATGAACACCGACACTGAAATTATATATAGATTAGAATTTCAGAATACATTTTTTTTAAATACAAGTGTAATTCACCGGTCTTGAATCCCTCCAGTTGTCAATTGTCATTGTCCAAAATGTATAATAATAATTATAGATCCTTGAGATATTTTAAAAAGAAATGACCTTTTAAGAGAATTTCAGTGCATTTTTTCTTAAAAAACAAACATTTCAGCATCTAGTCAGAAATCAAATGTTATAATAATTTCTTTTTTATTTGTTGTCTTTTTCTAGCTCATATGTAATCATTAAAAAATTGAATGATATAGATTTATTTAAATACAAATTTAAGAGTACTTAATTTAAAAAATTATACTAAAAAAGCATTTCTTACTTTTAATAAAAAAATATAAACCCAATTTCAACTTGTATTCAAATATATTTATAATAAAATTTAAATTTATGATCGAACTATTATAAAATAATCACATTAAAATATCAAAAGAAAACTATTTCTTTTAAATGTTTTTGTTTTTGTTGCCTGTCTTTTCAGTTTCAACTTTCAACAATTTTATTAAAGTCCCACGTCATAAAGTATAAATAAATGTTAAATTATACCTTTATTTTAATTTTAAATGTACGTGGCATTAATTTTCCCATTGAATTAAACTAACACGGAAATTATCTGTTAATAATAAAATAATATAAAATTTATAATAATTATCTTAAATGAGATTTTTTAAACAAAAATGTTATAAAATATTTTTAAAAGAAAGAGTATTTTTTTTTGAAAAAAATATTCTTCAATTACAATTTTTTTTAATAGCTATACTTCAATAAATTTATTCTTAATAGTTTTTCTCTAACAAAAATACTTTTAAGCATTTTTCTTAATCTCCTATTTCTTTTTATCTGTTATTTTCATCTTTATTTATAAATTAAATAACAATATTTTTAATTTTTTTTATTATAAAAATAATTTTATATATTATAAAATATTTATTTTTATGTATTCAAAATATATGTTTAACTAAAAATAATAAAAAATAAAGGACGATTGACAGTGTAATTCTTTTACACTTACAAGCATAAAAAAATAAAGTATTGTATTAATTACTAATTTTTATACATCATTAAATTTTCGTCAAGTTTATTTATATATAAATAAATGTATTCATTGATTTATTAAACATATAAATTATATTTATCAATAAAAATGTCATCTTTTATCTTATAAATAGTTATTAAATATAATATTTCGTCCAAACTCAAATAAAGTTAAACAATTTTGACGTATGATGATCTAAATATAAAAGAAATGTAACTAATTTTAACGATAGTATCTGAAAAAATACCTTAACTTAATTAAAATTATATTTTAGATTACCCTTTTTTATTCATGATATAAAATTCAAATAAAGGATAATCTAAAAGAAAAAACATTTTTAATTGAAATTAATAAAATAATAATAATAATAAATTGGTGTTTAAATGATTACTTGTTTAAGATAATATTCTATATAACTCTTATTTAATAATGAATTTTATATTTTTAAATTGATAATATTATAATAATATAACATACTTATTTTAAATTTTATTTTATATTAATATTATATTTATAATAATATATCAATAATTTATATTTATTATAAAATATATAAATTTTTACAAAAATAAATAAATTTAATTATGTTAATATAATTAACTCAATTTAATTTACTTTATTTATAACTAGAGGGGTAGAGGCACTTTGTGCCTCTAATAGTTATTTATTAATAAAATATTAGAAAGTTGTGTATAATTATTTAAAAAAATTTTATGATTTTTTTTTACATCTGGGGTATAATGATCCATTAAAAAATGGAGACCAAAAAGCGGTTACATCTCCTATATCCCCTTTATAATAATTATAGATTAGATTGGATTGAATTAGATTTAAAAAGTGTACACAAACTCAATCCATCACAACTTATTAAATTTTGAGTTACAAATTCGCCCAAATCTAAGCATCTTACACCCTTATTGCCGAATTCAAGGAAAAAACCAATTTAAGGTGAAATCTATTTTCACTATCCGCCCAAATTGGGTGTAAAAGGAGAGATTGCATTTTGTACCTACAATTACAAAAGTACTCCTCTTAATTTTACATCTTATTTTTTATATTCTCTTTCTTTTTTTAATAAGCAATCTTAAAATCATCTTATTTATCTAATTCATCTATTTTTTCATATTTTTTTTTCTTAATCTAAACACACTCTTATATAAAAAGTTGTTCCTATCTCATCCAAGGTTTTATCCGTTTTGACTCGTTAGACTATCACGATTTTATCTTTTAAAAGACATCTCAGTGAGTTAAAGAGGGACAGTACCCTTAACCTCGACTCTTAAGAGATGTGAGATTTTTAGGTATACCGTTATTAATCATTTTAATTTTCTAATGGTCATTTTAAAGATAATTAACCTTTCTTATTAAAATGATTATCAGAAATATAAGTAAAAAATAATAAATATTACCATAAAACCGTAAAAATAAGACTAATAAGAAAAGAATTAATTAGATATATATTTAAAAAGGAGGGAATAATAGTTAAAGAATATATTAAAAGTGTTGTGGGAAATATTAGGAAGTGGCAGTGAGAAGAAAATGTGTGAAAGTGAGAGTAGAGTGGTGGGAAGTGGGGCCTAATAGCGTCGGTGGGATGCCCAATTGCCTCATAAGTCTCACTTCTTATCTCTCATAAGTCATAACCATTCATTCTGCAATCCACCATGGGTCCCATCTCCTACTAATCCCACTCTGGCATTCTTTGTCTTTTAGTTTTAACAATGTAACTTTTCTTTAAAATAAATATTAAGGATGTGAATCATAATATTAATTTTGGTGATTAAGAGTTGGAATGAAAAAGAGGAGAATTAGTTGTTATAAAAGCAGAGAGCATACATAAGCGCCATTCTTGACTCTTTTTCAGTATTGTCTTAGTTAGAGTCCAAATCCAAACTCTTCAAAAATGAATTCTCTCCTCCTACCCCTTCTGCTCCTCCTTCTCACCACCACCACCACCGCCACCGCGCACAACATAACCCGCATTCTGGCCAAGCACCCAGAATTCTCCACCTTCAACCACTACCTCACAGTCACCCACCTCGCCGGAGAAATAAACCGGAGGCAGACCATAACGGTCCTGGCCATCGACAACGCGGCCATGTCCTCCCTGCTGGACAAGCACCTCACCCTCCCCACTCTCAAGAACGTCCTCTCCCTCCACGTCCTCGTCGACTACTTCGGCGCCAAGAAGCTCCACCAGATAAACAACTCCACCACCCTCGTCTCCTCCATGTTCCAGGCCACCGGCGCCGCCGCTGGCACTGCCGGCTACGTCAACATCACCAACCTGAAGGGAGGGAAGGTGGGGTTCGCGGCGGAGGACAACGACGGCGCCCTCCACTCGTTCTACGTAAAGTCGGTGCAGGAAGTGCCGTACTACATCTCGGTCCTCCAAATCAGCCACGCCATCAGCTCGGCCGACGCGGAGGCCCCCACGGCGGCCCCGTCGGCCATCGATCTGATATCGATCATGTCGAAACAAGGGTGCAAGGCCTTCGCCGACCTCCTCAGGGGCTCCAAGGCCCTCCCCACTTTCAAGGAAAACATCGACGGCGGCTTAACCGTCTTCTGCCCCTCGGACGCCGCCGTTAGCGGTTTCGCTCCGAAATACAAGAACCTGAGCGACGGTGAGAAAGTGTCGCTTCTCTTATATCACGGCGTCCCCGTTTACCAGTCCCTGCAGACGCTGAAATCGAGCAATGGCCTCGTGAACACCCTGGCCACGGAAGGAGCGAACAAGTACGATTTGACCGTTCAGACTCAAGGCGAAGACGTTGCCCTTAAGACCAAGGTATTGCAATTTACAACCTTAATCTCTTTAAGGGACGTGATCGACTAACACTAACACTAACAGGAATGTTTTGTCTATAATAATATATTATTATTACAGGTTAACACAGCGACCATTGTGGGAACTCTGATAGATCAGGATCCATTTGTGGCTTACAAGATAAACAAGGTGTTGATGCCGCGAGAGTTGTTCAAGGAGAGTGGAGAAGCGCCGGCGGAGTCACCCAAGGCTGCCAAGAAGAAGAAGGGCAGTAAGAAGGGAGCTGATGATTCCGAGGCGGCGGATGGGCCGGCGGATGCCCCATCAGACGACTCGGAGGACCAGAAGGCTGCGGATGAGAACAGCAATGGGGTAAGTGTAAGTGGGTTGCAGGACGCCGTCACAATGCTCTTCACTTTGCTCATCGGATTTTTGGTTCTAATTCTATCATCATGACATAATCATTAATCAAGGAGTGTGCTCTGTGCTCAATCATTCTTTTCTTTTTTTAAATGCCAAGGAAATGAAATAAAACGATGCCACCGACAGGCTGGAGGCCATGTGTATTTTCTTTTTTTTTGGAATCTCTTATTATACGTTTTGTATTTATTATTCTCTGCTTGTCTTTTTTTCGATTATTTATTTCATTGCCCTTTTTTTGAGTGTGGGTAGATCCGGTTTGTGCCAGATGCCAGCTGGGATGTGTGCATAGAAACAGTTTTTAAAATGCTTACATTTTTAATGTCTTGTACTGTACCCAATTATTATTGTATTTGTATCACACCATGCACCATCGGATTCATTCTACCATTTCCTCTTTTTTTATTTCTTGTTTTAACTTCCGCACTCAATCACTAGTTCTTAATAATCAACGTTTTCAGACTCCATCATTTAGTTTTGTAGTAACATATTATGGATTTTTGTATTGTACTGCAACACTCACGTAAGCTTTGAAATTACAACTCTTGCAGATTACTTAGGGTGTGTTTGGATATACTTTTTAAAGTATGAGAATGTGTATTTTCACTTTTCAATGCATGAAATTTAAAAACAACAAGACTATTATTTTGAAGTAAAAGTGGGTTGAGTTAAACTCAACTTTTATCCAAACACACACTTACTCCTTATGACTCCTTCCGTTTTAGTATGAAATGCAACCACAAATTAAAACTGAAATGGAATTGCAAATCCGATAGCAACCACAAATTAAAACTGAAATGAGAATAAAAGCCTTTCGTATCCAAAAGGAGAAAGATTAACAAGGTTTCGTATTCTACGCATAGTATTATAATAAGAAGATAAAGGTAACTTGTTTGAATTATAAACAAGTCTACAAAAAAGCTAAACATTGGACACACAGGCCAAGCCCATTACAAACTTATACTTTGGGGTAATTTATATCGAATTGGTTTATATCAACCATTATTAAAATTTAAAGCCGCTACTACGAAAACATGATAAATCAGTCTGAGTTTGAAAGTGTTGAAAAAAAAGATTTAGGCGTGGGTAGGGGGGTGACTGAAGGATCGCCTGCTAACTCTGCAGGTGAGAGTGACTATTACATATATTACTAGGGGTGAGCAAATTTTTTGAGGTCGCCCAAAACAAACAAACCCGCAATTAAAATTTAATAACTCATATTTTATATTAAATTTTAACAATTTAACTATTGAATTTAAAATTTTTAATGTATAGATCAAGTCTACAAATTTTTAAAAAATTTAAAAATCATTTGATACTTCATTTCATTAATTCAAATTGACGGATAATTATAAATTTATTTTATACATTGATTTGAATTAATGAAACGAAGTATTAAATAATTTTCAAATTTTTAAAAATTTGTAAATTTGATCTATATATTAAAAGTTTTTAATTCAATAGTTGAATTATTAAAATTTAATGTAAAACATGAGTTATTGAACGAAATAAGTATAGTAATGAATTAAACAAATTCCTCCTATATATATATATGTGTGTGTGTGTGTCAAGCTTGTTCCTGTTTGGAAGCTAACAAATGGTTAGCATCCCGGTTGTTAAAGTAGAGATAGGTCTTTTTGCCAGAAGATGTACAAGTACGCACGGTAGAGAAACCAGTGTAGTTGCCATCCAACTTTGAAAAACATATTTTTGTAGTTAAGTTAAAGAGCTCATTGTCTTGCATAAAAGGCTGGGCAGCATAATCTTCAAAAGGCATCCACTGAATGAAAAAGCAAGCCATATTAGAATGTCCATACGAGTTAAAAAATTAATCAAATTGCAAATAAGTGTCACAGGATAGAATATCAGCAATCAGCCTGCAGCCGAGAGAGATTACAAACGAAGGAGGAAAGCTATATGTTAGAAACTTTTAGGGTGTGTTTGGTTTGTTATTTTATTAATGATAACGAAAATGTCGCCTTTTATTTTGTTTCTTGTTTATAAGGAATTGCAAAGGAAATGGTGAAAACAACATTTGTTCATCTTGTTTTCAATTAACAGGAATCAAAATGAATAAAAAAAAAATGGTATTTTTTTTAATAATCACTTTATCAGTCAAAACAAGTCAACTTCAAATGAAAACAAAATACAAACTACGTGCATCCTTAGAATGACACTTTATCTGAAAATTAGTGAGATTCTCAGATGACCTTAGAACATATACCTTAGCTGCCACAATTTCTGAAACCTGATTCTGAATTTCAAACGATTGAGGTTGCAACAGACAAAGACAGAACAAATCTGATTTCTCGAAGAACGACTTATGGCTTTCCCTAATACCAAAGAAATAAAACGACGGTGAACGTGGAGGCCACATAGTGCAAATTATAAGCATAACATTCACACCACATGGAAGTTGTATAGTGTCGTACTCTTTCTTACCTGAATGCTAAAACCTCAACAAACTTTGTCTCTATCTATAAAAGGAATGAAAGTAATGGCATCAGACGTTTAAACAAATCCAAAAAAAAAAAAAAAAACACATGGAATAGATAAACTACAGAGGAAATTACACTCCACCACCAAGTCTGGAAAACACAGCAAGCCCAAATCTTGGTTGATATTAGATTAATATTTGAATTAAAAATTACTAAATAATATTTATCAGGTTATTCTGTTATATTTAAAAACTAAGCTTTGTAAAGAAGACAATAAAATTTAACAAATTGTGGTATATAAATCTAATTGATAATCAACAACTAGTTTTTCTTTTAAACAATATATACCAGTGTTTACTCAATAATTAGTGGCAGACTAAATATAAAGTGGATATAAATTATAATTAAGTTTGAGGTTTGCTATTATTTTGACAAATCTCAAGTAGAATGTCATTTACTCTAAACTAAATATTATGTGTTTGCTTATACCCCTGTCTCTTCTTTGACTTCTCTGACTGCAGCATCACAAATATCCTCACCCTGCAAATGGAATTAAAACATATGTCAAAAGATAGTTTTAGAAGTTCAATAATTTGATGAATAGTTAATCATTTTGATATACTTCATTAACAGCTCCTGTAGGCATCTTCCATACACCTGTGCCTCCGAATTTGCCACCGATTTCCTGAACCACAAGCACCTGTCAAATGAAACAAGACAGTTTTAACTGTATAACATATTAAGGAATAAGGAACTGAATGGTCACTGTAACAAAGCCTTTTTCGTAAAAGGACAACAGGTAGATGATCCAACGGAAAAGGTTGAACAAAGAAACAATAGTTACCGCTCGAAAATATGGTGTTGACTATAGCCCAAAGGTCAAAAGTAGTCAAATAAAAATTTTGACCCGACACAGAAGGATAATGCTACTCTCACGCAATTCTTTCTCAACAAATTAAATAATTAAAGAAAAAGAGATTTATAAAATCCTGTTGAAGTATAGTTCTACAGTAATGGTGGAAGCCGTCCAAAAACTATTAGTTTTAGAGGCTCTAAGAACTTATACGCATCCTTGTGTACGTAGTTGCATGTGTAGTTGTTCTTTCGTGTTCGAAAGGACAAGGACCAAAATAAACTATGATTTTTCAGATATTATACCATAGTCGATGGTATTTTCAAAAGCTTAACATATTAGAATACACAGGTTTTAAACATTGACCTTAAATTTCTTTTACGGGATAGCATATTGCAAGAAAATATGTTCTAGGTATAAAATCATACGAAAAGGACTGGTCTAAGATGTGTTGGTAACATGCACGTCTTATTGGAAAACTCTTTTTTAGCGGATTGACAAAAGAACAAACAATCATTTCCTGAAATAGTCTCAAACTTGTGCTGGTTTCCCCTTGTATTTTCCAGGAAGCAAAGCTTGAACTTGAATTAAAATTGAGAAAGAAAGAAATATTACCTCCTTGTTGTTGTTAAGGACAAAAGCACCAACACCGATGCGATGAGAAGCATTTGCAGGAAGGGTATCAGGAGTATCTGGAATCCAACGTACAAGCATCAAGTAATCTGGCTCAGCATGGTGATACCTAAATCCAGACTGCAAATGGAGCTCAAGCATTTAGACTTAGGTCCTACTTAGAGAAACTTCAGTAAAGTTAAACTTCATTAAACTTCTCTTATAACTCAAAATTAACTTATTCACTTGAACTTTTATAGAAACTCTTTTTATCTTTTCCTTTACCAACAATCTAACAGATCATCTATCTTCTACTCTTTTTGTCTTTACTTTCGCTTTCTTTGTTTAATTAAACATACTTTGGAAGCTAAAGTACATAAATTTATTCTAGTAAATAGAAAAGAAATGAGAGAATATATTTTCACCTTGACCGCTGAATCGACAAGATTTGAATGCTGTATAGGTAGTTTGATCCAGACCCCCTTCTTTCCCTGAAAAACATTTGGCCATTTGGGATTAATTAGTGAAGGTGAAATAAGGTAGTGTTGAATTGAACATGAAATGTAATGATTTTAGCTAAGGTACCTGTTGCCTCCAATTGAAAATTGAAGCTTCCAATATAGAGGAGAAGAGCATAGAATCCATAGGGTCCTCGATGTTTACAACGACTCCTCCATATTGATCCTCAACTCCACTAAGCAATTCAATCCTTTCTACTTCCATTTGCTATGCTGCCACTGGGAAACACCTGAGCTTGAGATGAGATGAGAGGACCAATTTATAATTTGCGAAAAGCCAATCTTCCCTGTATCTAAATGGAAAAATCAAAGGTAGATTACCAGAGTCACCCGCGTAGCGTGAGAACATTCAAAATTTGACGTTTCTTGACCCTAAACTTTTCAATTCAACATTGCTAAATTGCTACGCTGATTGAAATAACAGAGAAAATGCACGCCAACTCGTTCCTTTTCTATATTTAACGATTCTTAATCACCCCAACCTTAAGAAGACTTTTAGTTTATTTTGCCAATAAATAACTAATTATTATTTTTCTGGGAAATACCCAGCTCTTGTAATTGTAACCTAATAAAACTATAAAAAAAACAATGGCAATGTTAATCACCCTGATCTCATATGGCTCCAGGAAGCACCTGAATCTACGATTTACATCTCTTCAACTGTGGATCATTATCCAGAACCAATGGGTTAATACATTGGGCCTTTTCGTTAAAAAGAAATAATCTTAAATTTTAATTTACCTTTAAACCGTATCTCTTTAATTAGATTTAATGATACATAATTCAATTTGAATTACAGTTATTTAAATTTAAGTAATAGTATTTAAGAAATTTAATGAAAAAGAAAAATATATAAGAGGATTTTTTTTTCTTAGTATAATGATCTACTAAATATGAAAATCAAAAAAATAATTACAAAAATATATTTTCTTTATAATAAATTAGAAAGGTTAAGATACGAAGTCTCTCTAATAATTATATAGAAATAATATATTAGAAAATTATATGTAGTTATTTAAAAAAAATATTTTTTTTATATATTTGAAAGATATAATAAAATACTAAAAAGTGAAAATAAAAAATAATTACATGTTTCAGTATTCTCTTTATAATATATATAAATATAGATAGAAAAATCATTTAACTTGGAAAAAATGATAATTTAAAAAAAAAATCTTGAGAAAAATATACAAAAAGCTAAGAGTAGTAGCCTACATTTCCTCTTGAAAAATCTTACGTGTTTTTATACCTAACAGAATAATATTTTACTATTAAAGAAAACTGTAAATTATCTTATTATTAGCTATTTTATTAAAGAAAAATTGTAAATTCTAAACTTGCGTGTTTCTTTGTGGCCCATGCTCCTTCGCAGTATTTTGTACTATCTAATACTATTCTAATAGAATAATATTTTATTATTAGAGCTAAAGTGCTCAGAAGACAACAATTTACGACATATACTTGATAGCTTTAATCCCTACTCAATTACCAAGTTACAAAAATAGTCCAAAATAATTTAAGTATACGGTACACCCAAGTTATCACTATGTTCTATGTCACGACTCCTCTTGAGCTTCAGCAGAAGCAATTTCTGAATCCAATTTGTTTAGTACTTGCTTAGCCACTGATATCATATCAAGAATGATGCTTGGATCCAACCCTACACCTCCTCGTTTGGTTATACCTCAGATGTGCCCTTGCCTATTTACAGAGATAGAAACAGCAGAGCTCATTTGTGATTCCTCTTCTGATGGTGCATTCACAATATAGTGCCTCCCAACCTAAAGCAGAGATGGTATGAAATTATCACAAATATGGTTAACCTGAGAAGATAGCACATGTATGTTACCTTTGTCAGTGTAACTATGACAGGGACTCCAGATGTGTCGAACTGCAGAAACTCCTCGTCGGTTACATAAACTTCTGGCTGTTCATCATTTGATGTTCCAGCAGCAACTTGGACTCTAGGAATACCTGTATTGCTCAAAGCATCCCAAAAGAATAATAGTTATTAGCTGCATTGGGGGGTTTTTCAGTTAATTATGAAAATAGGATTGCGTTGCCAACATCATGATGTTAAGGAAATCCATGTGGAAAACCTCCATGACACTGAGTGCAAATTTCTGGGGATATTATAAAGATTAAAGAAAACAGCTAGTAAGAGGGTATTTTCAATTTTAGCTCAATAAAACAACTAGAAAAAGACTAAGGTTTACAAACTACTAGCTACTTCATAGAAGTCTTTAGATCACATCTCTTAAACAGCCCAAATAGCATGTTTGTAACATCAACAGCTAAACTATGGTAAATGAACAAGAAAAATTGAGATGTAAGCAACATTGCAATTTGGCATCATCATAAAAGCGTGATCTCTGAAATGCTAATTATTTTAGCCAGGAATCCATCATCGTCATCATTTTTCCAGCTTCTATAGTATATTATTCTATTTTTGTTTGAAGTTGTACCTTAATAGCGCCTTGAGCATCCAACAAATTTCCTTCTGAACTAACAATCCCGACAATGTAAAGATCCCAACAAATTTTTCTTTCAACAATAATAAGCGAGGAGAGTTCAATTCCAGCACCTGAGAAAAAGGGGAAAAAAAAACAAACAAGAGCTCAACAACAGCTATATTAAAAAGAGGCAACAACATGGAAGGGAAAGCATATGGTAGTAAGCATAATCTTCACTCTAGGGGGAAAATACCTGCTCCACTTTTACCACCTAAGAGACAGCGTTGAAGAGCAATTGAAAGTTCTACTGCCAACTCATCACCCCCTCTAGGCCTCTACCCTATATACAAGCCAGAGATATAGAGCACCAAATAAAATAGTAATATTGAGACATTAAAAGGTATTTAGAATTTTATGGAACAAAAATGATAAACAGCACAACAATAATAGAAAATACTATTATTGATGGAAATGTAAAGCTTATTAATCCAATACACCATTTAACTTTAATTAAAGCTTTTAAGGATTAACTTATTTTTATTAGTATCAAAGTTCATGGTACTTAAAAGTTGAATAACATTAAGAAAACCAGAATACATGGATGACTTCAATAAAGAAAGAGAAGGTTGAAAAGCAATAGAATATGTGACCTCTAAAGCTGGCTCGGCAGTTCAACTGCAATCAATAGATATTGAGACCTTTCCTTTATCAGGTTGCAACAAGCTTGGCTTTCCAAGTTCAGCCTGCACTTGTGAAGCCAATATATTATGGTTAGTAAAATAACTCATTCGATTTAAAAGAATTGTTTATGGTATTAAACAAAAGGATATTACAACTAAAGATAAGAGATCATTTCCAACATTCTAATTTTTAACCAACCTTAACACTGGCAATGACATCTGTAGCACCCATTCGGACTCTTGCTGAACCATCTGCATAATAGGACCATTAAAGAACAACATAAAACCATTAAGCTAGCTTTCCCCCAGCACCAAACACTATAAACACAACTTCTCTACTGTCCAGGGAGATAACAAAAAGCAAAATAAACAGAAAAAAAAATATTTTCACATGACCGAACAAGGAAAGATGGTTCATGACTTCATGGATTATGGTACTTCTGGGGAAAGCTAGAAGTCAAAATTTTGAGAACTTGTTCTAGAAAGCAAGCATCACGCTAACAATAATTTTAAAAAGCATATTGTCATTTAAGATTTTTTTATCCCAAGTTCAGACACGGAGTGTTTCTCCATCAACATGTGTTTGTGAATCAATTCAACAAGTATATACTCTGCAAAGGAGACACATTTACAGAATGTAAAATTTAACAAATGAAAATCAACAGACTTGGGAACCGAAACAAATGATAATGTTATTAAATTGATAATAAATAAAGCATTTTTGCTGAGAAATGATAACATTATCACAGACAGAATTAAAATGATAAGCATTCAAAACTTAACCCAACGAAAGAGTCAAAAGCTAAAAAACAGCTTATAACATCAATCCGTAGCAACCGATTTTGAGTCTTGTAATTTTTTTCCTAAGTGGAAATTATAAACAACTGACAAAGACTTGTTAATTCATTGGTAATTTCTTTGACAAAGTGATTAATATTTTGTTTCATGTTAGAACCCTCACCACACCCAACTAGGGGTCATCAAAAAACTATATTAAACTAAACTAAACTATAAAAAACTAAACTAATTTTTATAAAAACTAAACTAAACTATATTTGAAGTTTAGTTTTAAAAAACTAAACTATTATAAAAAGTAGTTTAGTGCACTTTAACTATTAAAAAAAACTTATAATTAGGAAATGTTTTAAATAATTAATTAGAACTAAACTAATAAATAATTAAATTGAATTAAAATAGAAAAAAAACCAAATTACTTTTATAAAAATTGAACTAAAATGAATTTTATGTTAAGTTTTATAAATCTAAAATTATTTTCTAAATAGTAGTTTGTTAAACCAAACTATTAATAAAACTGAATTCTTATTATTAATACCTTTTTCGTAACTTTTCAATTTTGCTTATTGTCCACTTTTGAGTCAGTACACTAGTGATTTAGTGTTATTATGCACAACTACACATTTTTTTAATTAATTTACAGAATTAAAAGAAAAAATTAATTTTCATTTATTAATTGAATAAAATCTTTTTGATCTTCTACTTTTAAATATTGACCGGTATGCCTGCAAAACCAAAACTAAATTTTATTAAGTTTGGATACTACTGTGTTTACAAATGTGTCAAAAATAAATCAAAATGTAAATTAAAAAAATAAATGTATAAAAAATTCAAAATGAAAGTAAAAGAATCCATATATATAAATAAATGAAAATAGTTGGATTAAAATATTTTAATAATTATTATATTTTATCAATAGTATAAAATAAACTGCTATTAAATAATAAAAAATAGATGCATAAAAAGTATCAAAATAAAAGGAAAAAAATCAATATAATATATATATATATATATAATATTTTTCAAATTCAATAATTATATTTTGTAAAAAAAAACTCAACTTAAATTTCTGACATTTAATAATAAAATAAGAATATGCTAAATTAATAATTAAAAAAATGAGAATTAAGTAAACTGCTATAATAATAAATATATGCTAATATATATGAAATTAAGATATGTATATCATGCAATGTGATATTTTTAAATTCAATGATTATATTTTGTAAAAAAAAAATCAAGAAATTGAAAACAGATGAATAATTCTAAACCTTCGAACATTGTCCTAGTAATCCTCCTAAGATGAATAAAGTATCAAGTGGAGTTATGTGTTCAAGACACTAAAGGCGCGTTTAGACCTATGCATTTACTTTTCATTTAATGTTTCTTCTACAAGGTATTAGGAGGAACAATAAGAGGATATAACATTTCTCAAAAATGAGCATAAATAGATATAATAAGGACTCTGAGACACCACCCATTTAATCAAACATAGTAATGCTCAGGCAAGATTTGATAATTGTAGTGCCATAAGACATATGTCTCTGACATTTGGTTACTTATTGCCCTGCGCACAAGTCTCCAAATACTAAATCAAAGTATCAGCCGCATATGCTTCATGCATAACATCTACACCCACTATCGCCAAACCACTTCATTCTGTTCTTGCTGCCCCTACATCACATATCTTCTTCCCATTCTCATAATTTCATAATCATCGACACTCATTGTCGTTACCCATCCACCACATTCATTTCTTGTTTCTTAATTATTACAGCCTCCAATTCATCAAAATTAACTATAACAGAGAGCCAAAGAATTCATGCGTAATCTTCTATTAAAGGTTCACAAACTGAACACAGAATGCTTAATGCTCACTCACCATTGTTAACTTTTAGTTTTATCAAACAGGCCCCAAGACTGCTGCAAAGAACAGTACTTAAAAGCTTCATTGTGTGCGAACTAGGATCAAACTTGTTCTAGTATTCAACTGCACAATTGCACTGTACATGAATTGATTGTGTTGTTCATCAATGAAAAACTGCTTCAAATGATTGTCCAATAGCAGTTCTTTCTGGTCATGTGTACACGGGATGAACCTACGCCCTTTCTGCCCATGATGAAACTATCATCGGGGATAATAAATCCTGTGACTGCTGTAATGACGAACCTACACCCTTTTTCGAAAACTGCCCACCATAAAAGCAACCAACAGCAAATTTTGATAAAATTTGTTGTAACTTATTCATTTCAGTCACTAGATTCAAATATCATATTTAAATTTGAATTGTTGCGTGGCTTATAACCAGCATCCTTCATGTCCATAGTCAATTTGTCCAAGATATAATATATCTCACCACTTTGAGGGTGCTTCTCATCTCTAGATACAAAGCAGTTTGCACACCCAGCAACCTCAACCCAACTACATCCCAATTCCTTTTGCAAACCTCTTTCCTTCATCTGATTTCTCACTTTATCAACATTTGCCCACTCTCCTTCCTCCGCATAGATATTTGAGAGCAAAACATGATATCCTGCAATCCCTTTTTCTGTTTCCATATTAAGCAAATTTTCAGCAATAACTTTTCCCATTTCAAAGTACCCATGATTTTTGCAGGCCCCGAGAATAGATCCCCAGATTTCTATTGCATTGCCGTCCTCACCCAATCTCTCAACAAACTCATAGGCTTCGACCACCCTACCAACCCTCCCTAACATGTCTGCGACACAACAATAATGTTCAATCGAGGGCTTAATTTTATGAACTTTGTCCATAGACTCAAATATGCAAAGACCTTCTTCCACCAAACCACTATAACTGCAAGCAGACAAGATAGCAACAAAAGTAACCGCATCAGGCTTAATGCCACGACTCAGCATGGAATCATACAAGGTAAGAGCTCTTTTACCCATTCCATGCTGCCCATAGCTCATTATCATTGTGGTGTATGTGACAGAATTCTTCTCCGGAGAACTGATAAAAACATTTTCAGCATAACTGATTGCACCCGATTTGGAATATGTATCCACTAAAGCAGTTCCCACATAAACATTTTCATCCAAGAAATGCCGTATGGAGAATCCATGAAGTTGCCTAGCAAAGACTGTGCTTCCCATTGAACTACAAGCCGGGAGAATTGATGCCAAGGTCACCGCATTAGGCATCACCTTGTGCACTAATGCCTCTCTAAGAACGAGAATGGCTTTGTCACTGAACCCATTCTGAGTATAACCAGCAATCATAGCATTCCATGTGGCCAGATCTCTCTCACTTGGGCAGTTTTGCTCAAACAACAACTCGGAAGTCCTAATCAATCCGGATTTCGCATACATATCAATCAGATAACTCTCCATACCCTCAAACTGTATCCCATGGCGAATTAGATATGCATGGGTTTCCCTTCCAATGTACGAGTTCCTCAGGTTAGAAGCTGCAGAGAGAAGTGCCGTCACAGTGACAGAATCAATCTTAAACTTCTGTTTCTGCATCTCAAAGACAAGCATGAGTGCTTCGTCATCCAAACCATTCTGCACAAAGGAAGAAATTATAGTATTCCACGAAACTGCATCCCTTTCAGACATCTTATCAAAAACCTTGAAGGAGGTATCAACAAAACTGCACCTCGAGTACATGACGATTATCGCATTGACAACTTTAGTGGGAGAAAGTGGCAAACTTTTTAAAACAAATGCATGCAACTGCTGAGCCAATTTTATTTGCTGCAACTGCGAAACAGCAGTGATAACCGAGAGAAAAGTGACGTCATCGCAAACCGCCTCCTCGGACTCCAAGGCTTGAACGAAAACATGGATCCCTTGAACAGGACAGTTATTTTGAACATAACCACCGATCATGGTGTTCCAAACCTCTGTGTTTTTGTTTGAACAACGGTCGAAAACCTTCCTAGCGTACTCCAAGCAACCAAGATCAGCAAACATAACAATGGCGGCGCTAACAGCAAACACGTCATTGACATAGTTATCACCAAATTTAAGAAGCAAGCCGTAAAACATAAGAGCGGTTCTGGGGTCAGGGACTGCGGGGAAGACATTGACGAAAGTAACGGTAGTTGGGGTTTGAGATGTTTTGATGAGGTTATGAAAGGCGCGTAGGGCATGAAGGTGTCTGTGGGTTTTGACGAACCAGGAAATCAAGGTGTTCCAAGCGACGACGTTTCGTCTGCGCATAACAGCGAACACTTTGAGGACGTAGTCCGGTTGGGATTGCGTGGAGGCAGGAGGCAAGCATGAGGAGTACATGTTCAAGAGGGAGTTGTAAACGATTCGAGAGTTGGATTGAGAGCGGAGAAAGTGGGAATGAAGGGCCTTACCGGCCATGAGGTCGTGGGTTAGGGCACAGGCCTTGAGGGTGGAGGAGAAGGTGTAGCAATCGGAAGGGATGTCGGGGGTGGACCTCATTTTGGCGTACAAGTTGAGGGCCTCCACTGGCATGTGGTTGCAGATGAAGCCGATGATCACCGTGCTCCACACCGCCGCGCAGGCG